GAAGAATAGACAGAAGACAAGATTTGTGGTGTAGTAAAACTGCCTGTCATGGTATCATACATTTGTCACAGCCCACGGAGGAGCAGGAACGAAAGCTAATGGAAACTCTGGGACCTTGGGAGATAATGATGTGTCCCTGTGGTTCCCTAACAAACGTACCACTGTGAGGCCAGATGTGGAAGATCGGAGGTTGTTGTATGTACAATTGGAGGGCAGTACAATTGTTTAAGGACTCTGTACCTTCCCCCGATTTTACTGTGAACCTAAAATTACTGTTTAAAAAGTCTGTTAAACACAAAATAAAAAAGACCAAAACTAATCGAAAACACCACAAAAGCAGTGAAAACAAAAAGAATCTTTATGAGGATATCAGATAAATCGTTCGATCTTTTAGAGCATAGAGTATCCAGAATTTAGATAGCCTATGCTTTCATAATTAAACATTCAAGTTAAAATATTTCCTTGAGTAGACTTCATGTACTGGACAGAGAAATCCTTCTCTGTGCTTCTGGGAACTACATTGTCTTCCTGCTAAATCCTTGGGACCTCTGCAGGGCTGCCTGCTTTTTGTATGCTGATGAGCTGGCTGGTGCTGGCTCCCCCTGCCCGCCCCGCCCTGCAGGCTGGGTGTGTGTGTTGGGTGGGGGGAGCTGATCAGTAACTACAATAGTTATTGTTCCAATTTTAGTTACTGCAATACATTTTTTGTTTTCTTTTCAGGTGTTTCCTGGGGGCAGAAAGCGAACTTCATAAATGGTGATATGGATTTGTACGAGTGTTAATATGTAGCTGGAAATTCATTTAGTTGTTAGAGGAAGGGGGAAAAAAAACAGGGAAGGAGTAATAGCCCCAGGAAATGTGGAAATGTGCAGAGGGATAACCCAAGCCTTTCGGAAAGAACAACAGCTCTTTCTGGGCCCTTCTAGAGCTGATTAAAGGTGGCTGGGAAACACTGTTTTCCTTGCAAGGCAGGCAGTTTTCATCCTCCCAACCCTGAGGGAGGGGGAGGAGGGGAAGGGTGGGTAGGGTACAGAGCACCGTGAAGGGTGGGATGGTGTTGGGACTGGAGAGAGCTGTGGGGAGGATGAGACAGGTGAACAGTCCCTGGAGCAGCACTTAACAGCTTTTTCTCCCTCCAGAGCAACAGGCCTGAGGCACAGCACCCTGGCACCCTGGGGTCCTGGCTGGCACGGTGCACTCTGTGCTCTGTCCTTCAACCCGGAGTGGGCGAGGGGCTCCAGGCTTCTGGCGAGCTGGCATTACCTTGGGCTTGACTCCATTCTGCCTAGCTCTGAGGGCGCTCCTGGGTGGCAGCTCAGAATCAGAGCAGCCAGGAGCATCTGGAGGTGGGAAGGGGCGGCTAGGATTGCACTTGGAGGCAGGGGCCAGGCATCAGTCCTCAGAGGGAGCAGAAAGCAGGAGTCAGAGGGCGCTAGGCCAGTTGTCTGGCCTCTGTCAGGGCTGTGTCTGCTTGTAGACATGCGCGTTCGGGGTGAGCCTGGAAAAGCATCCGACTGCTGGACAGGGCCAAGCATTCCTCTCTGAATGGTGCAGCACTGGATGGAAGCTGCTGGAAAGATCAGGTCTGGCAAAGTAGCGAGCAGCTCCTGCTCATCGCGGGAGTCCACTCCCAGATGGGGACAGGCTCGAACGCTGGGAAAGGGGTAGGTACTTCGGGCACAGTCACAGCTCAGAGCTGTGGGGTGATCAGGTGGTTCCCTCCGTCTTCCTTATCCACAGGTGTTTCCCCTGCCATCTGGCTCTTATCATGCCGCCCTGGCCTTTGCTACCTGTAGGACACAGACCACTAGTAGGGCTTACCACCAAGATGGGTCGGCCACCACCAAAATGGGTTGCCCTCCCCGCAGTGCCCTGGGATTTCCAGAGTGGGCAAGACCTGCAGGGCCCCTGAGGGAATAGAACACCCCAGGGCTAGCTTTGAGAGTCTCGATTCCACGGTGGGGGTCATCCCTTTTTTATATTTGGGGAGATGACTATTTTTAAAAACTGCTTCCTATGGAGCACAGCCTGCCTGGGCATAGTGATATGATCGCTCTGTTTACAACTGGGCTGCAATTCCAGGCAGGATTTTCAGAGCATCTCAGCCTCTAACAACTAATAAAAACCCAGCAGTTAATTTCAGGACGCATAACATCTGCTTATTGCATTTTGTTACAAGTCACCCGGGCAAAAACTCTTCCTAACTCTGTCCCATAAACGAGCTTGTATCTGATTAGAACACTGGTTAACAGCTTTCTATAATGAACCTTTAAAGGCTGTGGTATATTTCTCCATATTAACAAAACCATTGTTTTTCTTTATAGCCCGAATGGGCTACTTGCAACGGCTTCCCAGCCCCATTGGCTTATTCTCTGAGGAGGAAGTGGTCTTGGTTTCCTTAAGAAGAAATTACTCTTTTTTTTAAATTTGGGGATTTTATATAAAAGGGTGTGGGAGCCATTTAACGTGCGTTTTAAAGCAACATGATTCCATAAAGGCCGGGTGGCCAGCACTTCTCATGGATTTAAAAGCCTGATTGCAGCTCTGCCTGGGGCTCGGAGCAAGGACCTCTGGGTGCTGTTAGGACAGAGACACAATGCACACTGAATTCCACCCCCCTTTCCTCTTCCATTTTGTGCTTTCTGACTGCTAAAATGCTCCTCAAGAAAAATGATGTTGGTCGAACATATCTGCTAGTACCTTCTCGCCTTGGAAGTTGAAGCTCACACCGTCTGCTTCCCGGACCCCAGCTAAGGTCTCTTCCCAAGGGTTTCTGTTTCTTTGTGTAATTTTGTTTTTGTGGTGCTAGGACCCGCCGACTCTGGCCAGATAGGCAAGGGCTCTACTGCTGACCCTCTAGCCTCTTCCATTTTTTTTCCTTTCTTTCTCTTCTCTCCCCTTTCCTCCTTCTTCTTTCCTTCCCTTTCTCCCTTCCTCCTTTTTTCTCTTTCTTCCATTCATGAGGTACCAGGAATTGAACACAGGGCCTTTACACAGATCAACATCTCAAGCTTTTTTATTTGTGAGACAAGAGTCTTGTTGAGTCACTAAATTTCCAGCCTCCTGCCTCAGTTTCCCATAGTGCTGGTGAAGTTGGTGTGTGGACAGTACCTGGGAACAGACGACAGACTGACAGCACTCTTTGGATGCCCACTGCCAGGGTTGGCGTTGACCTTGAATCCTGCCTCTCAGCACTGTTTTACTTTCTGTGGTGACAATTAACGCTCCTCAGGAAGCTGACACACTGTTTCCAGCCTGTAGCTTGTCTCTGTGATTTACTTAAACACTTAGGGAAGGAGAAGGAGGAAACAAACGTGTTACAAGAACAAGAAAAAGGTCTGGGGCCTCCCTTTCATCTCGCGAAGTTACCCGTGGTCGCGCGCTTGTGCCATGCGTACCCCTCCTGCTGACCTGCCCAGTCCATCATCCTGCAGAAGGGGCACTGAAGAGCTGAAACAGAGTCACTGGGGAGCCTGCTTTGTCCGGATCATCCTGAGACTTGAGTGCGCTGAGGGAAACAACAGACAATTACATTATTTCAGCCCAGAATAAGTTCCCTGGAACATTTGCATGTTTCAGCGTGGTAAACATAATTGCAATCTTCGTTTAGTTTGATTCGTGAGATACGGTCTCTCGACATAGTTCAGACTGGCCTTGAACTCAGTAGGTAGCCAGCACTGGCCTCCACTTCACAGTGAACCTCCTGCTTCAGCCTCCCAATTTAATAGTGATAAGTACTAAATTTGCTTATTTAGCCCTACAGCCATAGATCCAGAAGGAGAATATTTTCCAAGAAATTTAAAGAAATTTTTTGGAGGCTAGGCTTAGGTCTCTATGTAGTATGGTTAGAGGGTACATGAAAATGCCATAGAAGCACAAATGAAAAGTGATAAAAACACATTAGCTTGCTATGGGCAGTAAATTTTTAGGCCACCAGCTTTTAAAAAATAAAAAAGTATATATAGTTATATTTTTACATTTTTTTAGTTTCTCATAGAAGAGAAGCTATGTGATGTTTAATCTTGTGCATATGACTTATTTCCCTTAACATTAAGATCTTAAATTGCATCCCTACAGATTTGCCTACAGATGCTTCATTTAACCTTCTTTATGGCAGAGTAGTGCTCCGTTGTATATACATGCCACATTTTCCTTATCTGTTCATCTGTTGATGGACATACATGCTATTTTCTTTTTTATATGCATGTATTCTTGAACAGTGTTCACTTTAACTTTTTTGGGAAAATATTTAAAGGGCAATAACTGGGTTGGATGGAATTTTATTTTTAATTTTTTGGAGAGAATTTCTGCTGATTTCCATAGTGGTTACATCAGTTTACATTCCTACCAACAGTGTACAGTGGTTCCTTTTTCTCCACACCCTTGCCAGCATTTATTATTATTTGATTTTTTGATAATGGCTATTCTTTCTGGGTAAGATGGAATTTTAATGTATGTGTAAATAGAGAAAAAAATGAAAGAGAGATAAATAGGAAGCAGGGAGAAGTTCAAAGAGCTCCCAAATTATCTATTCTGTGGTTTCAGAAAATATTTTAAGATGAATGTTAATTGCATTTATAATACTAGTTTTTATTGCTTACTGAAAAGGGTTTTGTCCTTTTATTTGTTTCTTTATAGGGGGAAATAATTTTGTTGTTTATGATGTATACTCTGAGTAACATTTTGGCAATTCTGTTAATATCATGGTCCACAGCATATCAATCATTGTTATTCTCTGATTATTTTGTATTATTTTTTCATAGAAGTGTTTTTTATATTTTCTTTATTAATATCTACTGGTAGTACATTAAAATAAAAAGGATAAAATAAATAAAAGCTATTTTATCTTTTACAAAAAGATTTCAAGACAGAAATCCTAATAAATCTGACATTTAAAAAAATAAAATAAAACTGGGTGTGGTGGTGCGTGCTTGTAATCCTGGCTCTGAGAGGCTGAGGCAGGAGGATCATCAAGAGTTAGAGGCCAGGGGCTGGAGCTTTAGCTCAGTGGCATAAGCGCCTGCCTTAGAAGTAGGCAGTCCTTTTAGTGGCTATGCTTATGGGATAGATGAAAGTTGCCATGATCTGAAGAGGGAGGGCTTTTCAGTGCCCTCCTCCTATATGAAATGGCTGAACAGAAGAAAAAAAAAAAAAAAAAAAGTAGGCAGTCCTGAGTTTGATCCCTGGTACCGATAAAAAGGAAAAAGACAAAAAAAAAAAAAAAAAGAATTAGAGGCCAGCTTGGGCTACAAAGTGAGTTCAAGGCCAACATGAACTACATAGTGAGACCCTGTCTCAAAAGAAAAAAAAAAAGAAAAGAAAAAAAACAGGGCCAGGGATATAGCTCAGTGGCACAGCATCTGCCCGGCAAGCACAAGGTCCTTAGTTCAATCCCAGGTACCAAGTAAATAAAAAGGTAAACCTCAGTTAACTCTTTCTTATCTTCCCTCCTCTTTTCTATTTTTATATTTAAAAATTATTTTATTTTGAGATAGGCTCTCACCATGTAGCTCAGGCTGGCCTTGAACTCTCAGCCTTCCTGCCTTGGTCTCCTGAGCACTGGGAGGATAAGTACGTGGCACTGTACCCAGCCGAAGGCTTTAGTACTTCTAACAGTGTTTTGAAAGCCTGTGTGTCCCTGAAAGTGCTGTTTGAACTGATCAGCAATGTGAATCAATCTGCTGCAGTAGAAGATGCATTGTCCATTCATATCTACAGAGGTTATGGGTCAGTGACGCATGGTAGGCTAATGAGCTGGGCCTGGGTCACCAGGGGTCCCAAACCTCAGTGTCTTTTTGAGTCACCTGGGAGACTAAAAGTTCTGGCTGCCCAGTTCAGCTTCCTTGCTGAAGCCCCAGTTCCGGCTTAGTGCTCTGGGTCAGGTGTAGCTTTTGAAAAGCTTTTCAGTTGCCATAGTGACCTCCTCCGAGCATCCCACCAGGGCCTGCGGAGAGCACACAGAGGAGGGGCTGCCTGGAGCTCCCAGGCACCTTTGGCAGTCACAGTGCAGCCCTTGCTTGGGGAGTGGATTGTTCCCCTGAGTGTGCACTCCAGCGTGTGTGCTGCCAGGTGTCAGGGAGGGGCACAGTGGTCATTTAGAATTCAGTCTTCTTGATAGTTGGGACTTTGTTCCTTTTTATTCCACAGCACTCAGGAGCTGGCTTTTTAGACCAGTTGTCCATGGGCCAAAGGCTGTGAACACCTGATTTGTTCGGAGGGCACTTCAGAAATTACATTCCTTTCTCCCTTTCTCCCCTATTTTGGATCTAGACAAAACTAGGGGCACATGTGTGTGCCCATGTGAGTATGTATGTGTTGTGTCTCCTAGGGATCAAATTCAGGGCCTGCTACATGCGACCATTGAGGTAAAACTTTCTAGTTTTAACTAGTTTTTAGTTTATCTGCCTTTCTCTTTTATTTTGGAGAAAGAAAATTCATTCTTTATTGTAACTAAAGATATCATCTAGCATGGGGCTGCAGCTTAGTCAGCCTTCTGTTGCTGTAACAATGCCTGAGAGGATCAGCTTAGAAGGAGGAAAGCATTGATTTTGGCTTGTGGCTTTGGTCTGTGGTTGCCTGGCTCTTGTGCATTTTGGACTGGCAAGCGGCAAAGAGCTATGGTGGTGAGTGTGTCGGGCAGAGCTGTTCACCTCACAGCAGCTGAGAAGCAAAGAAAGAGGAAGAGGAAAGATACAGCTTCCCTATCTCCTTGGAGGGTGACCCCATAACCTATCTTCCAGCCATAGGGCCACCTCTTAAAGGTTCTGATCATCTCTGCATGTTGCCACAAGCGGGGAACAACCTTGTAACCCAAGGGTCTTTGGGGATCACTTATGCAACCATAGCAGGCTGGACCTGTAACCAGAGCAGATATTCAAAGGAGCCATGAGTACACTTTTATAATTAGTATAATTAGAGTGCCACTCTTCAAGAACAGTATAGGATGTGGAGGGTATAGCTCAGTGGGACAATACTTGCCTAGCATGCACAAGGCCCTAGTTTGATCCTAGCACTGAAGAACATCCTTTTTTCAAAGACCATGTTTATGGGCTGGGGATTTAGTTCAGTCGCAAGGTCATGAGTTCAATCCTCAGTACCAAAAAAAAAAAAAAAAAAATCATGTTTAAAGGTCGTGTCTTATTCAATCCCTGGTACCGATAAAAACAAACAAACAAACAAAAAGACAAAAAAAAAAGTTGTGTCTTAGTTACTTTCTCTTTGTTTGAAAAAAATACTTGACATTCACAAGGAGGAAAGGTCTATTTCAGCTCAGTCTGTAGAGGTCAGTTGGCTTCAAGGTAGGGGGGCAATGGGGCATTGCAGAGAAGAAACAGTTGACGGCAGTAAGGCAGGAAGCAGCCATCATAGAGCTTCCCTTTCCCTTTTATTTCATTCAAGCTGTCAGCCTATTGGTTGGTGCTACCCACATCCAGGGTGGGCCTTCCTATTATCCACACCCAGAACTGTGCTGAACCATATAGACTAATTTAGTGATCATGCACCTTTAATCCCAATATCACACACACTAAGTCCAGCTATTTTTGAAAAGCCACACCAGTGAGCACATAAGGCTTTGTGGGGTTATCCAGATATAAGCCACAATAAGCTGTAAATGAGAAATGTTGGAAATTTGAGACATATTTGTCTAGAGGGACTAGAAATAGATAAACCTGTTTGATAATGTTCCCGTGGATCCCAAAGTTTTGTGGTCTAAATGTAGTTGATTCCTGAACCATTCTTTGTTGTTTTTGAGCATGACTGAATCTGGTCATGGGTAAAGCAAGGAGGATCAATTATAGTATGCTTATTAACCTGCAACTTGCTTTCCATTTTTGTCACTGAGTTATTTCACTGTGAACATTTTTTAGATTTTTTTTCTCCTAGAAGGAGACTAGACACCCAACACTGGGAATAAAATAGGTACCCAGCCAAAGTTTTATTTATTCAGTCATCAGATACATCCAAGTAGAAAACTTTTATTCTTTATTCTTTGAGGGGACCACTTTCTGTTGATCCCCCTCAATTAAAGCTGCTTAATAAACACTTGTACTTTCCTTTTAACTGCCTTCTTGGGTTTGTTTGCCAGCATAGACCAGGGATTTCAGACTCCTCTGAGTAGCTGGACCTGGCTATGTATTCTCAGCAGGGTGGCTATGGACCGAGCTGCCGCACATGGTCTCTCATGAGAATTATCTTGCAGGGATGAGGTGCAGCTCAGTAGTGCAGGACTCAACTAGCATGTGTGAGGCTCTGGGTTCCGTCCCTAGGACCAAACAAAAATTACTTTACAGAACTAAAATCTATTGGCAAATTTCTCAGACCCCCAAAGCCACTTTTCTTGACGTCATTGCAATGCGTATGATGTGACTATTGTGGTTTGTAAACTTGTCACTGCTGAATGTCTCACAGTGATGTGTCAGGATGTAAAGGGCCCCTGGGCTACAGATGCACTGAGCAGGGAAGTGGGTCTAGAGAGAATAGCATGATGATTCTATAGGGAAAGAAGTTGGCCAAGAAGGATCTTGGTAAGACAAATGAATGTGCAAAGCACTACTTGGTTCAATCGGTGTAACTTAAATAGCCTTCTTGTCTTTAAAAGCAACGTTAGGGCTGGGGGGTGTAGCTTGGTGGCACTGGGCCTGTCTGGCAAGCATGAGGCCCTGAGTACAATTCCCAGTACAAAAAGCGGGAAAAAAGTATAACAATGCTTTTGTTAAAGCTCACTCTGAACTACAAATGACATGACAAAGAAGTAAATGTGCTATTTATTAACTCCATATTTAGCCTTGAACTAAGTGACTGTGCAGTAGAATTATACACTTTTGTTTATTGATGGAAGGAAAGTTGAGCAACCAAAGCATTTTTTCTTAACCCGATGCTTTCTTTCTTGGGGACCAAGGCTTCTTGTCATATTGAGGCAAATACTTAGTCACGAGAATAAGGCAAATGACACTGATGCTATGGTAGGGACACCTGGCTGCTCATCTCTCTAGCTTGTAGTGATATAAACTTATGTCACGGGAAGCAGAATATGTTCAGTTATATAATGTCTTCAGTCTGCCTGTCTCTGTACTTGAGAAACACTGTTGCTTTGGCCCTCAGCACACCTTGGTAGGAACCGGAGGTGGAAACTTTTTCTAGAATCCCAGCTTCACAGGTGAAGGAGTTAGGGAAAAGATACCCAGACAGCTAGGAGCTGGATGGGTTCCTCCTCTCAGATATTTGACTGTGTTGAATGTCCAACAACCAAATGGCACACTGAAGTATTCTATCAGCAACCAATTTGAGTGGGAAGTCACAAAACTGGGTAATTAATCTTTGTTATGGGTTATATCTAAAATATCTGAAAGTTCATGGGCTTCCAGGTGGAGCCTTTGGGAGTAACTGGATCAAGAATGTGTGATACTGGATTGTGGGTATGTGATATCTGGGATCAGTCTGCGGATAGGATTATCACAGTTCTGGGTGTGAGTGAATAGATTTAATAAAGACAGAAGCCTCACCTTCAGTATGAGTGGTACTAACCAATTGGTTTATAGCCTGAATGGAATTAAAAGGGAAAGGGAAGCCTGCTGCTCCCGCCCCCTGCTTTGGCACCAGCTGACCATGGGCTGAAATCTTTATAAACTGTGAGCTAAAATAAACCTTTTCTTTTTGACCTTGTGAATGTCAGGTATTTTGTCCCAGAATTGAGAACTAAGACAATCCTCATTTTAGCTGTACTGAGAGAAAAAAGAAAAAAAAAACACAAAAAAACTGGTCAAGGGAAACTACATTCAAAGATTTAGAGCCATTGGATTAGAGCAGTCTGGTCAGAAAGTTTTAACTTAGTTGTATTCTTTTTTTTTTTAATTTTTTATTTAAAGAAAAGGAAACAAAAAAAATACATGGAGATAAAAAAGGGTAGAAATAATACAAAGTTACAGAAAAATAAATGGTAAGAAATCGCTGATAAGTTACATATTGTCATCATATAAATAGCTGTTCAGGTTACAAAATTAAAGTATTTAAAATGACATTCAAAAAGTGACACTACAAACAGTTCTGCTCAATGATCAAACAAAAACTCAGTAATATGGTTATCAGTCCTACACACTTGTTTTACATCTCAAAGAGGGTAAGATTAAACATATCAAAACAGAAC